TGATGAATAATCCCACCAAATGATTATTTCAATCCTTCCATCTAACTTGAGCCAAACACACGCGGCTTATCATCATACAATTACCTGTTTTAGAAACTGTATTTGAAAAAAAACATTAGAAAATGACAATGACGACTGTATTTTCCTCCACGTCTCGTTTTCATTTATAAAAAGGGCTGCAACCTTCATTGGCAGGAAGAACTGAAGTTTCCTTTGTTAAGTGCGCCATTGAATTACCATAGGGCAACGTTGGTTGGAGTCATTGCAATGGAGCTGAAGTCTTGTAAAATTCAGTGGGAAGGTAAGTTTATATTCAAGTGACCATTAACTTGAGGTCGAGACCATTTGTGTTGTGGGGATTGGTATTTGTCAATTTGTTCTACCCTTCCAATTCTTATTTTTGATTTGTTTCCATTACTAACCAAACCAAACTGGCCCAATACACATTGGTTGGATTTGGTTATTTAGTTTTCCCATTAACTATGGTGCATATGGCCACAAAATGGATAGGTTTGGTTGGAGTCATTGCAATGGAGCTGAAGTCTTGTAAAATTCAGTGGGAAGGTAAGTTTATATTCAAGTGACCATTAACTTGAGGTCGAGGCCATTTGTGTTGTAGGGATTGGTATTTGTCAATTTGTTCTACCCTTCCAATTCTTGTTTTTGATTTGTTTCCATCACTAACCAAACCAAACTGGCCCAATACACATCGGTTGGATTTGGTTATTTAGTTTTCCCATTAACTATGGTGCATATGGCCACAAAATGGATAGGTTTGGCTCACATCTCATAATCAAACCATAAAGCACTTCCGAGAGTACAAAGAATGCGGCATTGATGACATACTAGGAGATTTATCTCTGCAGCTAATAGGGTATTCCATGAGCTTTCAGCATTTCACATGCTATGTAGTATATGAACTACCGACATTTTTCTACTATATAAGTTCAGAACTCTGAATTAATGTTTTCTCTCTCCCCCCTATGGTTATTTAGATTTTTCATTCAAATCATTTCAGTGCAAAAAGTGGTGCTAATAGAAGAGACAAAGTGAACGGATGTGAGGATCCTCTGAGGTGCAAACTAGAACAGTTTTACGGCGAAATGAGGGTTAAATATTCCTACCAGAAAATGAAGCAGGACAGCGTGTCTCAATCTCTTGAGTTTTACATGCTTCAATTGAATGGCACTCTTTGAGATCAGACAAATGCATGTATTCAATATCTAACTTGGCAACATATTCAACAATACAACAAAGGGCTTTACATGTGTTTATTTGTGTAATCAGTACATTCAAAGGACTCCACATCTAAACTAGTGCTCATTCTTCTATGATTTTACTTACAGAAAGACTATAGCAGTCAAAAGGCCATGAGTACAATAAAACAAATGTTATTGGTTTTGTTGTCAAATCAATTTCATCTCATTAGCTACATATCATGGGTATTTATAGCATCATGACTATTAACCAACTTTTGCTCCAAATTACCTACACTCGAAGAGGGTAATATCTGAAAGAAAGGAACAAAGAAAAGGCAACATTACCGTTTCATGTTTACTATTCATTTGTTCCCAAATAATCTTTTTGTAATGCATCTCTTCCTTACTGTGCAGATATTTGTCAACCTGTAAAAAATTTGACATTGTTTCGAAGTTATAAATTCACTGATCTGATAAGTCAATCAGGTAACATTTACCAATTAAGTCAAGAACACAACTTGCTTTAAAACTTGCAGCATACCTCAACATCATCGATATCAGAAAGGCTTTCTGACTCGTCAATTGCTGCCATTCTACTCAGGTGCTCATATCTACGCAACTGACCAGATACCTTGTTACCATCTTGGCATCCATCAGAAGCTCCTGAAACATCAGAATGTTACTTTGACTTAAGCTTTCAAGTTTAATCCCTAAAATAATGCATGACAGGAATTTCATGAGAACAATTCGTTACCCTTTGGGTATTCAAGAATCCATTTCTTACAACATCTGCACGTACTTTCGAGAACGGTGTTACTTCTTTCTCTAACTAAAAAACAAACATGAAAACAGAAGTGTGTGGAAAGATAAACTTGATCCAAGATCTCTCTTACACACCTTAAAGTCATTAGTTTATCAATCACGGAACAGAAACAAGGAGTAATGAGGAAGAAAAAGCTGCATAATCCTAAATTACTTCTAACAGTACATTTGAATATATATCTCAACCATAGTGAAAAATTCGGAAAATGGGAAACAATGCACAAGATTGTGAGCAAAATGTCTTTGTAAGTCTAAGGAATGGAGGCAAAGGTCTTTTAGTTTATACAAATTACAATACACATTTCATGAGAAGAAAAAAAAAAAAAAAACATGATATTTATCTTTAAAATTTGAATATGCCATGCCTTTAGCTCATTGGGTTGGGATCATATATTTCCAAGCTAGGGAGGGATTTAGGAGATAAATGGCAGGAGAAGTTGAAAGTATATACAACTGAATTCTGATCTCATTACCCTGAATTAGACATGCTGCTAGTTTAGTTTTCCACATCTTTTTTATGCTTCAAGAGTCAAAAATCTTTTTTTTCTTCTTTTTTCATTTTTAAGATTTTCTGCGCATGGGCTCAGCTAGTGTTCCATGGGCCTTCTTTTGTGTCACATTATTGTGTTTTTATACATGATCCTTAGTTTATTACTTTGTTTAGATCAATTCTGTAACTCAATTACCTTAGGGGTCGTTTCTTAGTGTTGTCTTCATGCTGAATACCATATACTCTTAATGCAAAAGAAGGGCACTTAACCCTTAAAAGAATCACCAAGGAATTGCAAGCTAACGGTTAAAAGGTTCCTGAATGAAAGAAATGTAACTCCATTTAGAGATTAAATGGTTATGGTAAGTGTTGATATATAGGCATAAAGATGGTAGGATACTCACAATGACGTAATTTTTGGTGAATTGTTACCATTGTAGCTGCAATTTACATTATTCCATGAAGAATTCATTGGCTTGCACGGATCTCCTTGCCAATTTTCTTCACCCGATACGTCAATGAGATATTCACCATAGCATCAACTAATATTTTAGAAGGTAAAAAGAGAATGATATGAAACAAGTTAAGCCGAGTAGAGGAGAATGAAACAAGAGCAGATGAAAAGCAGTATAGATGAGAAAAACTAACATGGTGTTTGTGCAAATTAATTTCAAACGAGTGTTGATTTGTAAAAATTAAGAACCCGACATGGAGAAGTTATTACAAGCAATAAAATTCTGCAAAACAAAGAAACCTGTAGTCATTATTGCTCAGGGAGTCAATTGGGAAAAATGTATCGATCTGCACCGAAATACAAATCTCGAACAAGAATCGAAATTCAAAACATGGAACACATACAGTAATAAATTACGAATCAAACCCAGATCTGAAAAAGTTTTCTTCCGAATGTTCACATTGAATAAACACATCGGATACAAAAAATTATTCAAATTACGAAGAAATTAAACAAATGAGAGTGACAGGACTTGAATGGATAAGAATTCAAACCAGGACTTGAATGGACAAGAATTCAAACCAGCAGAATTCAATCCAGGATTTAGTGAGTGGTGTAAAGAGCAAAATATAAATAGCAATAAATGTAAACCAGCAGAATTCAAACCAGGACTTGAATGGACAAGAATTCAAACCAGCATAATGCAGTGGTAAAATCATGGTCAACGTCAAAATCGTTCATTAGGTTGCTAAAATACGCATTTCCTTGATATTCCATCTAAAGCACAATTATTCATACCACACAAAAAGAATAGTGAAAAAAAAAAGTATCAATTCATGGCCTAATTCCAAAAATAATGAATTAGGGAATGGTGGACATAATTGGAACAAAGTAATTTTAAATTGGAACAAATCTGATTCATAATGGACATAAACATCTTTGAAAGTAATTTAAAATTGGAACAAATCTGATTCATAATGGACATAATTGAACATCTTTGAAAGTAATTTAAAATTGGACATAATTGGACATAATGGACAAATCTGATTCATAATGGAACAAAGTAATTTATAATTGGACATAATTGGACATCTTTGAAAGTAATTTAAAAGTTTCCTGATTCACAATTGTAAAGCACAAGTAAAGCACTTGCAAGCAACTGAAGATGGGGATAACATGAATCTTGAATATCATTTATCAACATGAGGCCAAAAATAATGCACGGAATTAATGATCACTACTCTTTCACAAATAAATTCTCAAAGAAAAATATATTGGATTTAATAGGTCTATTTTAAGAAAAATCATAGACCCAAAATCAGTAAACAAAATTGCAACAGAGCATAACTGGGAAAAACTACCAGACAGCCCCAATGGGTTGATAGATTCAATAGCTGAAAGTCATAAGCGAGATCTATAAACAGTGGAGTCATTATTAACAATTAGACACCCCACGCTCCAGCCATCCACCGACATGGGCTATTTGTGATTCGACTCACTTTATCATTTTCATTTTTATATTTTGCTTTTAAAAAAAAGTTCAAAAATAACAACAACTACATCATCAATGAGCTTGCCCTGACCTTAGCAGGCAAGTGTTCGGTTCTGTCTACTATTAGTCATGAGAGTAAGCAAAAAAGAAACATAAAAGCTAAAAATCATTGTATACCAAATAATAGACATGCTCCACTAGTTTTTGATTAAAATTCAGTTTCTGATTAAAATTCCCTAAAACTCAATCTACATGTAAATCACAAATTAGTGTTACAAATAAAACTCATAAATAGAATAAACCCAAAAAATCAGTAATATTTGTAAATCAAAAAAAGAAAATCTTAAAACTCAAATGGTTTTCCCTAATTTCATAAATCATAACTTAAATCTACAAATTAGTAAGTTTAGAGTTTCATTGAAAAAGAGAACAATTAAAAAAACCCCAAACAAATTTTTTTTTTTCTTCACAATTCATAATTCACAATTCACAATTCTTGATTGGAATTGTGGGGTAATATAATGTAAAACAATCAGTAACCCTCTACACATCAGTAACAATCAATTCTTGGCTGCAATTAGTAACAATCAATAACACATAATATAAAACATGCATAGATTCTTGGCTGGAATTGTGGGGTCAATTCTTTGAGGCAATTTATCGAACATGTAGAGGACATTGGAGAAACCCCTCTACACATTGAAAAACCTATCATCAAGCAATCTATAAAAGCAAATACAACAAAATATAAAAGTGAATCACTCAATCTACCAGGCACATTGCATAAATACTGAATATAAAACCCAAAACCCAATTTTTTATCCCAAAAAAAGTATCGAATGCAGCTTTAAATATACACAAATAGCATGAAAATACAGACCAACAAACAAAAATAATATGAAACAATGATGCGCCCTCAGATCTGATAGCTTCAAATAAATCATCAACGGTTTATACCCAGTGCCTATCATCAATTTCCCAATGAACAATTTCAGTACACAAACCCAATTTTTGCAAATGGATTGCCCTAAATCATGTATTCCTTTGTAGATAGATGATGGGGAAGAACAGGGAAGTGGAGAAAGAGAAAGAGAAAGAGAAAGAGACCTGCAAGAGGGTTCGACGTGCCTGACAAGACCAGGAAGTTTGGGGAGCAAGACAGAAACAGGGGATTTGAGAGCAGAGGAAGGAGAAGAGAGGTTTTCGTCTTTGCAGAGGTAGCAAATGACATCGACCATGAGAGAGATTTGAGAGGCGGCTTGCCTAGGCAGAGGTCAGCTACCTCGTATGCTAGCAAGCGAACTGCCATACAAAACTGAATATGGGGGTTTTTTGAGAGAGAGAAAGAGAAGATGTGGAGGAGGATTCTTAGGTAGAGAGAAAGAGAGAAAGAAAGGCTGAGACTTGGCAGTGAGGCTTGGTAGAGAGAGTGGGCACCGAAGGAGAGAAAGAAAATTCAAATCCCGCCCCACTGAAAATCAAATTTCCCACCAAACTTTTGGCGACCAAACGTCAAATTAGTCGCAAAAACAGGTTTTTTCGCCGACAAATTTTTTTAGTTGCCAAATCTTAATCAACGGCGACTAAAATATTAGTCGCTAAAAGTACTAATTTGGCGACTAATTTTTTTTAGTTGCTGAAAATAAGGTTTTCGCGACCAAATTTTTGGTCGCCAAAAAATATGTGACCTTTCGCGACCAAATTTGTAGTTGGTCGGCAAAAGTATACCACTTTTTGCAACCAACATATTTTTTGGTCGCCAAAATATAACCTTCTGCGACCAAAAATATTTGGTCGCCAAAAATAATGATCATTTGCGACTAATTAAAATTTGGTCGCCAAATGTCATTTTTTTGCGACAAAAATTTTTTTGGTCGACAAAAGTGGTCGCAAAATCTTTAAATTCTTGTAGTGGAATCTCTAACATTATTCTTATTACATATATGGGAAAAACATTTATGATTTTTATGATTTTTTTATTTCAATTAAAAATACTTATTAGTGTGACTCATAAGTATCGAATGTCACTATTGTATCTATGTACTTTTATTTATAAATAATTTTTTAATGTCAAATTAGATAGTTCCATTTGTATCCCAAAAGCAAAAAAAATTAGATAGTTGCATAAAGCGTCACATGTTGCAAAATTCATCAGAAACAACATCATCTGTTGTTATGGGGTCCCAAACAAGGTCATTTCAGATAATGGTTCCCACTTCAAGAAGGAAGTGATTGACTTGTTGGAGAAATACGTGGCTTTTCATAAGTCGTCTACATATCGGCCGCAAACCAATGGAGTGATCGAGGCCGCCAACAAGAATATCAAACACATATTGCAAAAGATGGTGGAAACCTACCAGGATTGGCCAAACAAGCTGCCGTTTGCTTTGTGGGGGTACCAGACTTCAATTAGAACTTCTACTGGGGCAACTCTGTATTCATTAGTTTATGGGATGGAGGCCGTTCTACCTATTGAAATTGAGGTTCCGTCTCTGCGAGTACTGGCTGTGTGTCAGATAGCCGAAGTAGATTGGCAACAGAGCAGATTTGAAGAACTCATGCTTTTTGATGAGCGCAGACTGAAAGCACTGTACCATGTTCAAGGTTATCAACGCAGAATTGCCCGGGCTTTTAACAAGAAAGTTAAGTCCAGGAATCTAAAAGAAGGAGATTTGGTGCTCAAGGACAACCGAGCTCCCATCCACGACCCAAGGGGCAAGTTCAGACCCAATTGGACTGGTCCCTACATCATTAAGTCTATCTGGTCGGGTGGAGCTGTGGTTCTAATGGACCTAGATGGCCTAGAGTTATCACAACCGATCAACATGGACAAGTTGAAGAAATATTACCCCTGAGAGGCTCGCTAGGCCGAAAACCCGAAAGGGCGACCTAGGAAAAAGCCAGAGCACAAAAAATTTGAAATTATAAAAACTGAGCTTGCAAGGTTGAAAACCCGCAAAGGGTGGCCTTGGCAAAAGTCAGAGCGTAAAAGGAGAGTGAAAATACTCGAGTGAACCTAAGCCCGAACTACGTAAGGCTTGATTCCCATCTCTAGGATACGTAGGCAACTTTATCCTGAAGTTCCGCCACAAACTTTTCCCCGATTAACTTTGTCCATTTGATCATCTTGGCCATCTTTGTCTATTCAGCATTCAAGAGTTCGGTTATGATCTCCGGTGCAGTGCTCTTCAGACTAGGGGCAACTTTCCGTTCCTGCGCAGTGTTGCGGTACTATTCAGACTAGGGGCAACTTTCTAGTTGCTGGGATCCGGAGTTGTGCATCTCAGTGACAGATTTCAGGCGCGTCCAGTTCTGATCCATATCGAAAATGGTTTTGAAAAATTTTAATAAAAGTTGATTTTGTTCAAAATTAATCTTTTTACAACTTAGACCATTTTTGGGCCAAAGCGAAAAAATTTTAGTACCCACAACCTTCAATTTCATTGATTTCAATACAGAGTTCTCCTGCTCTTGCATACAAATTGAAGTTGCTTTTTATTACAATCATAAAGAAAACTTGAAAGTACGAATAAAACAATAAATCTGGGGCATAGCTAAGTCAGGTGTTCCTGCTCCCCCTCCCAAAGCTGGTCGAAGCCTCTGATGCCAAAGTAGGCCCTTCCTGTGCCTCTTCATTGAGCCAATCCAAGCACTCATCAGACAAAGTGCAAGTGGGAGCAGGGGCCAAGAGCTCTCTAGTCCTCCATGCTGTGGCATACCGGGTAAGCTGTGCGCCTCGAACCGGGAATACAACAGGATACTCTATCCCCTCTGGGGGGCAAGTCTGATCATGTCCGAATTGGCGCTGGAACCGGAACGGAAAATAGAAGACACAGTGTGTCATGCCAATCAATTGAATCCCAGGTTGACGGGTCATGTTGTAACTCATCGCCGGCAGATTGAGCCAAGGGCAGCGCCAAGCGATGCAGTTCGCAGACAAATTGCACATCCAGCTATACCACCACCCCTCATCAAGGGCATCGACCAGGCATTGTCGGAAAAAGTAACCGCGAGCTGAGTATGCGGGGCAAGACTCCACAGTCTGTAACTTGTCCATCAACCACACCTGGGGAGGGATTGAAAAATGAGAGAATAAAGAATAGAGAGATGTACGATGAGAGAAAAGTAAGAAAAGGGCTTTGCGAGAAAAACCAAGCCTGAGAGCCGAGTGATGTGAGCAATACATGTGTGAGATTGGGTGGGAAACATTACCTGCAATAGTAGTGGGCTCCCCGCAAGCCTAGCCGTCTCCCGGCGGTGAAAAGCGTCTAAGCCCATCAATGTCTCAGCCAATGTCATAGCGTTGCAGCTCTTGCCCTCCTTTAAACCTTGGGCAACCTCGATCAACCGGACACCGGATCCTCCGGAACCTGAGGCAAGTAAGAAATGAGATAGCAAGCATAAGCAAAGCGCGTGTTGCCGATAGCCCTGCCAATGATGGTTGCCGCGGTCACTAGCATTAGAAAACCGGCAAACCAAGCTCGGGATGTCCAACTCCCCGTCATGAATCAATGATCGAGCATCATGCAAAGTGAGGCCGCACATTTGTCCTAAGGCTTGGACGTGGCCGAATCGGAATTGAGGCAAGATTTCCTCGTTGCGTTCGGACTCCATCAAAACTTGGAAATCCTCGAAAGTAGGACACATCTCCTGCCCGCTAAAGCTAAAGACGTGTGTTACCGGATTCCAAAACCTTGCCGCAACATAGAGAAAAGGAAGATGCAGCGGAGTACAGCCCAGCGTGAATAGTGCGTTCAAGCCGAAGCCCCGAAAGTTCAACTTTTTCGAGCCGTCTAGAGAAGCAATTCAAGCTGTGAGATTTTGGGTGAAGAACGCCTCCATTTTGATGCAAAACTAAGATGAAATAAGAGAGCCACGAGGCTGGAGCTTTTAACGAGGATAAGGCACTGTTCGGAGGACACGTGTCGAAAATTTGGTGGCTGCCAAGCTAGGTGGTCGGCCGGCCACCTTTTCTGGTAGGCCGACCACCCCCCTCCCCTCCAATGCAAAAAGCTGGTCGGCCAGCTCCCTTGGGTGGTCGGCCATAGAGAGGAATGTGACTTTGGTCTTGTTCTAGCTTCTAGAAGAAAGTTCCTAGCATTTCCATGCATTGGGGGTGTTGAAGGTGCGAGTTTTCCTCTGTTTCGAATGCGTTCCGTCACCCAGATCGTCTGAAATACATTTGTTTATCGAGTTATTGTTAAATCTTGCTTATCGAGTTGTTATTTTGCTTATTGAGTTGTTGTTTTATTTATCGAGTTGTTTAGTTTATCAAGTTATTAAGTTTTGTTGAGCCGTTGAGTCTTGTATATTGAGTTGTTACTCTTTATTTAATCAACAATGTCGTGTTTCACTTATCGAGTTGTAAACTTGCTAAGGTTCTATTCCTTCTTAGTAAGTTTAAGCTGCTTTGTTTGTTGCAGCGGTTCACTACCTGACTTGGCAATTTTCAAATGCACAATTCCATTCAATCTCATTTTGTGCAAAATGATATGATGCGATGCGATGCTGAGAACATAAAATACAACACTTTTTGAACAAAAGCTGTTTCATTCCACCATGCTTCTTTTGTTACAACATTTTACAACAAGGGTACAAGTTTTACAGAAAATAAAACTGCCTAATAATGTGCAATATGCTACAACTACTAGTAAAAAAAGGCAAATAAAGCAGGAACATCTGTGCTCTCAAGCGCGAGAAAAAGAGGCCCTCTTCGTCCTCTTCTGCGGAACCGCCCCTGCGTCATCCCTATCAGCACCACTATCTGAATCGGAGCGGCTGTCCTCGGAACCCTCCTCGGTATCACCTCCGCCCTCGGAACCGGATTCAGAGTCATCCTCTCTGCCGGCGGATGTCTCTGACTGAGGATGCGCGGACTCCTTCTCCTCGCTGGACCCCTCCTCGATGATATGTGCTCTGCGCCCACCTCGTCTGCGAGACGACTCCCCTCTCCCAGCTCCTCGAGAAGGCCTAGATGGCCCAGCTCCTTGGGAAGGCCCAAATGGCCCAGCCTGTGGCTCAGTATATAGCGGAGGCATCTGAAAAGAAAGAGTGCAATTCGAATGCATCAGCCAAAATATGTATACCAGATGCACAGATAAAAAAGCTACATGGAGTGGATATATGCAGATATAGTACATGAATGTGGTGTGTGTCAGATGTGCTCTACATACACAGTCAGTCAATGCAGTGAAATGATCAACTTCAGCATGTCATCAGAAGTATGATAAAATGCAAGAAAACTAAAGAGTACCGAGACACCCATGATGGACAGCTGCGTCTCTCTCCGCAAGACCATGCCCTCGAGTGAGGCCACCAATCCGAGCATCCCCTCCATGTACTCTCTGGGTGGCTGCAGATACAAGCTCAAATCATCAATGAATAAATGAGTGTCTAAGTATCTGAGTGATAAATGAAAAACAGTGGAGCATACCGGTGGTGAGTTAGGATCACTGACATATCGATGATCAGGCATAGGAGGCTCTATCGGGATCGGGTAGGAAGTCCCGTGTCGCCAACCCGTCAACTCAGTCGGAATGTCTGGCCATCCGGCATGATGATAAGTCGGGGGAATCGGGGGGGACCAGTCCAGCCCCACTCCTAGATGTACCAGCCCTACTGGTTGAAGGAATGTCTCTAGCTCAGATGCGACTCGAGGATGGCATGCCAGTAGGCCTCCTCATGGGAGTACGGACACCTGCCAATGGAGGCATCAAATATGTATGATGGTAGGTCGCGTACTCCCCGTCCTCCAAGTGTAGCAATACACCGGTGCCCAACTTGGCGCTAGTGACACCCTGGGGAGTGAGCCTATCAGCGGATCGCATGTCGACTGGAGGTGCTGCAGGGACACTCTGCTCGGGGTAACCCATAGTCTGGCGAAGGAAGCGTTCCCCCAAGAACCAGGCCCTACCAACCGGCCCCTCAAACAGGATCCTGTATCGAGAGGCGGCCCATCCTCCGGCAAGCTGAAATCGGAGGTCCCCACCCAAAGGCACCCAAGGCTGCCAGGTGATCTGCAGATAACCAATGCATAAGCCGATCAGAAATCGTAGATGTGCAAAATAAATCAAAGATGAAAACATGGAAGACGAAGAGTTCTGAATTACCTCTGTTGGACGTACTGTGTCAAAAAACTGCCGTAGGTAGGGGAGAGTCTCCTGGGCCCGCGACCGGTACTGGCCCTCGAAAACGAGCGAGTAGGGGGTCATAAGGGGCGCCTCCACCTCGAGTTCTGGGGCTAGCATCGGGAAGTACGCAAAAACCCATAACTATGGAAAACAGGGCAAAAGCCATCAGAATACAGAATGCTGAGTGCAGAATCCGAATACAGAATGCTGAATGCTGAATGTGAGTATAGAATGTAAAGTGTGCCGTGCGTGCAATGTACAGATAATGAAAAGCAGAAATGTAAGTCAAGAGGGCAGAAGGAGGAGTTTAGGTCTTGTTGTGTTTTCACGTGCATTCATTTCACATCGAGTCGTGCAATTCGACTGCTCGGCCATCATGCATCGAGATGCGTGATTGGTGACACGAGGATCGAGGACTACACTCCCTGAAGAGTAGTCATGCATACATATGTGAAAATACTTTGCCATGCCCCTTTCTTGCTCTCTGTTGCAGCAAATCAGAAATCAACAGCCTTTTGGAGCTTCGCATAGTATTTCGGGATTAAGTGTAAACAGAGGCAAATCGGGGCATCACAATATATTTCCGCACCAGGCAACTCAAGCATGCATCTTTCATCATTCGGAACAGAGCTGAGGCGGTCCATAGCTTGCATGCTAATTTATCCACTTTCCAAGTTAAGTTGTTAATTAATTAGGGCTTTCTATTTATTCGGACTGTACTTATTATTCAGACTGTATTATTTATTCGAACTCCTCGAGTGGGGCAATGTTGTAATAAGTGTGCGTGTGTGTGATGTATGTCTTCCAACCCCACGTCTTTCTCCCTTTTATTTACCAGCTTATGATGGTTAGATTAGGGCATGTTTCAATTAGCATACTTATGCTCGCATGTTTGCATTCATTCATCTGTATTGCATGCACCGGTCTCGGCGCATCATACTAACTGCATTTGTATTTCAATTCGAAATTGAATACGTGTTAGCTGTAGCATCATCATATGCCATGTTTAGAATAGCGAAGCCTATTGTAGTTGCATTTTTGCATGTGTCGCATTAGGCATTTTTGTATAGTTAGGATTATCCATGGATTTCTAACATAGCTTCTGTTTTGGCTTGGAGTACTCGGTAAGTATTTATGCTTTAGCATCCTTGCGTGTGTGTGAGTGACTGCCGTGATAGCATGCTTAACATGAGGCTAATTGCTTATGTGATATAACTGCCTGAATGCCTGTGGGTGAAGGTTGGTTTATTTGGATTGGAACAATTCATTAAATGCGATTTTTAAGCCCACTTGAGAGTGGCAAAACCATGTTTTCTAAGCCCACCCGAGGGTGGCAAATCCGCACTTTAGCCTACTTACGAGTAGCAAACCGTTTTCAAAACAAAGATGAGATGTTTCGTTCCAATTCAGGCGATCCAGTCTATACTTGTATGTTGTGCGCATCACATAGTAAAATCTAGGCTAATAACCGGAATAAGAACGCATAATGTTTTCAAAACTAGATATCATAGTTAGTAGAGGCCGATCTTTGATCGGGCGAGCGGGGGTGCTCACAAAGTGACCTTCCCCAATCGTACCCAAGTTCCCGAGCCGAGGCAACTTTGGTGATGACGGACACGTGGCCTTAGGCAACGAGTCAGGGTTTCCTAATTTCCCCCAAAATAAATATTTAGGTGGCCACTCTGTATCTGGCAAAGCAGTCCATGTTTGGCACTTCTTTCAAAAAAATCTGTTTTCAAAAACGATTTGCCAGATTTAGACTCTTTGATGATTCAACGGTCTTACATTGCACTCCGCGAGATTAGATGCAGGACCGTGACAAATTGAGTCCGAACTGTAGTGAGGCCCAAGGGCGCGCCTACAACCTCTCGCTTCTCTTCTTCTGAACCTCTCAGCTTCTACCAGAGATCTATCTTCAGCCACAATCTCCAGCTCAGTCAACTCCTCCTCTGCCTTCTTGAGTTTTGTAACAAGGTTTCCAAAAACTTCAAAATTCCATTTTTTCAGCTCCACCTTTAGAATTTTCAGTTTCTGAAACAAGACATACCCAGCCCTCCCAATAATGCTAGATTCATGCCAAAACTTAGCCACTAAAGAGTGAAAACTTGGATGACTAGTCCAAGCATTAATGAACCTAAAAGGCTTAAGCCCCCAATCCCTCACGTCATCCATTAACAAAATAGGGCAATGATCTGAAAAAAGCCTAGGAAGACCCCAAACTTTGAAATTATACTTCAGCAGCCACTCTGGATTAAGCAGAATTCTATCGATCCTACACCATTTCTCCCCATCTTGAGCATTGCACCATGTGAACTTCCTGCCTAGCAAAGGTAGATCATGCAACTCACAACTCTCAATCAAAGAATTTAGATCCCTCATTCCCTTATCTCTTCTGGAATAGCCCACCCTTTCACCAATATTCCTAATCTCATTAAGATCTCCCCCCAAACACCATGGTTTTTGGAATTCAGATTTTAGCTTGAGTAAGGAGTCCCAAAATTTACATCTACTTCCTACCTCATTAGGGGTATACACATTCACAATAGTACACTCAAAAGTATTTAACAAAGTACCTGATAAGATAACAAATCTTCTATTACTATAACAATCCTCCAGCTGAAAGAAATCTGGGTCCCATATACAAATAAGACCCCCAGCAGTCCTTTCAGAGCCCACAGCCATAAACTCCATGTTTCTCTTTCCCCACAAAGCTCTTACAACATTCTCAGTAATAGAAGCTTGCTTTGTCTCCTGAAGAAGCACAATATCAACCTTTCTTTCATAGATGAGCTTCCTAATCCTTCCTCTCTTTTCTAGCTTCCCTAATCCTCTAACATTCCAAGACATCAACTTCATTAAAAAAACAATTTTAACACCAAAAAGACCCCGTAGAGAGACTCAATGCTCCAATTCTTTCCTCTTTGCCTTCCTCCTTGCTCTGTCAACAACTTCTAGGTCCACCATCTTTTCCAGAACATCAGTCTCTTTGCCTTTGTAATTAATGCCCAAATTTTCCCCAACTGTATGTTTGTTTGTGCCTCACTAAGAATGTGACTTCTAATGCCAGAGTGACTCTCATTAGAAGCAAATAGTGACAAAGTTGTAGTAGCGGCCCTAAATACAGCACATTTAGGGGAGGACTTGCTTGATGATGCACCATTATAACCATACATTCGAGCAAGGTATTGTAGACGCGCCCTCGGGCCTCTCTACAGTTCGGACTCAATTTGTGTCACAGTCCTGTATCTAATCTCGCAGAGTGCAATGCAAGACCGATGAAATCATCAAAGAAGTGCCAAACATGGACTGCTTTGCCAGATACAGAGTCGCCACCTAAATATTTTATTTTGGGAAATTTAGGAAACCCTGACTCGTTGCCTAAGGCCACGTGTCCGTCATCACCAAAGTTGCCTCGGCTCGGGAACTTGGGTACGATTGGGGAAGGTCAGCTCGTCAGCACCCCCGCTCGCCTGATCAAGACCGGCTCTACTAACCATGATATCTAGTTTTGAAAACATTATTGCGTTCTTATTCCGGTTATTAGCCTAGATTTACTATGTGATGCGCACAGCATACAAGTATAGACTGGATCGCCTGAATTGGAACAAAAACATCTCATGTTTGTTTATTTGAAAATGGTTTGATGGTGCTACTCGTAAGAGTGCTAAGACGTGGATTTGCCACCCTCGGGTGGCTTTAGAAAAACATGATTTTGCCACTATCTAGTGGGCTTAAAACTCGCAGTCGATAAGTTGTTCCAATCCAAAAACCCAACCTTCACCCACAGGCATTATGGCAGGTATAATCATATAAACACATAGCCTCATGGTAAGCATGCTATCATGGCAGTCACTCACACGCAATGCAAGGATGCTAAACATAAATACTTACCGAGTACTCCAAGCCAAAACAGAAGCCATGTTAGAAATCAACGCATGATCCTAACTATGCTGAAATGCCTAATGCAACCATGCAAAATGCAACTAAGATAGACTCGGCTATTTTATGGCATGTGAAATGCTACAACTAACAAGTATTCAACTCGGAATTGAAATACAAATGCGGTTAGTATGATGCATCGAGCCCAGTGCATGCAAGACAGCATGAATGAATGCAAACATGCTATCATACTGTATGCTAATTGAAACATGCCCTAATCTAACCATCATAAGCTGGTAAATAAAAGGGAGAAAGACGTGGGGTTGGAAGACATACATCACACGCACGCACACTTATTACAACATTGCCCTCGCTCAGAGGGTCCAAAAGAATAATACAGTCCGAATAAATAATTACAGTCCGGAATGAATAATTAAATATTACAAAATCCTAATTAATTACCGAATTAACTAGGAAAGCGGGTAAACTAGCGTGCAAGCTTATGGACCGCCTCAGCTCTGTTCCGAATGATGAAAGATGCATGCTTGGGTTGCCTGGCGCGGAAATCCATTGCGATGCCCCGATTCGCCTCTGTTTGCAATTGTTTTCGGAATATTGCGCAACGCTCCAGAAGGCCGCTGATTTCTGATTTACTGCAACAGAGAGCAACAAAGGGGCATGGCAAAGTATTTCACATATGTATGCATGACTACTCTTCAGGGAGTGTAGTCCTCGATCCTCGTGCCACCAATCACGCATATCGATGCATAATGGCCGAGGAGCCGAATTGCACGACTCAATATGAAATGAATGCACATGAAAACACAACAAGACCTAAACTCCATCATGGGTAATCCGGAGTGTCGGCGACAGGGAATTGAGACACGTTCCGTCATTCGGAGTACGAAGCGTCCCTCGTTTTCCGTGCTCGGGCTAACTCTTATCCCAAACACAATGCAAATGGGATGGCATACACAATGCGACTAACATACAACCTAGCATACGCAATGTTATGAAATGGCATACACAATGCACGACGCAACATGACATACACAATGCTCTGACATACAACCTAGCATACGCAAAAATCAGTGAATAAAACATGCCAAAATATGTTCAAATAATCACTGAAATGCAGCCAACATGTGCAAAAATGAGGGGCTTCTTTGGAAGGGCATACAAGGGGTAATTAAGCACATGCATCAAGGACACTTAGCATGGCACAACCAACTCTGGAAATCAAATATGACAGCCCTAAAACTCACCAAATTGACCCTAAAATTGGTCTAGGAAACATGCAAAGAAAGGCCTCTTTGAAGGGCCTTGAATGGGATTGGTCGACACATGCAACATAGACCTAAAATATGGTGAAATGGGCCTCGGGCAGAGCCAAGGCAAGCCTCAAAACCCTCAGAATGAGGCCTGGAAAGTGACTTCGATGCATGCAAAATAAGGTCCTTTTGGAAGGCCTAAAAGATCCCCAAACAAGACAAGGAGAGAGGGGGTCACCCCCCCTCTAATTTTGGCCCTCAAAAATGCGTCAAAGCCACTGAAAATCCACTGTATTTCAATAGCTAAGAGGCCAAACCATGGCCAATGCAAGTGCTCTAATGCATAGCCTTAATCATGAAGGAATGAAGCATGCATAGGGGAAGATGACCCCAAACAGAGAATAGACCTTAATCAAACATAAATAAGATATCAAAACAAGATTTTTTTTAGTTTAGGTCGAGGTCTAAAATGGCTCACAAATAAGGCTAATGTATCATGCAAAAACAGCCCTAAAAGAGAGATTGAACAAACAGGGCAGAAAAAGGCCTCAAACAGTAAATATCCCTTCAAAAAAGTTGAAGAGGGGCTCAAAACAAGATACTTTACAGTTCATGGAAAATCTCGAATATGCTCACAAGTAAGGCTAAAATATGATGCAAAAATAGCGCTAAAAGAGAGATAAAGAGAAAGGGGCAGTAGATGGCCTCAAACAGTAAAGAGCCTTCAACAAAGTTGAAGAGGGGCTCAAAATAAGGTACTTTCTAGTTTGGGTCGAAGCCTAGAAATGCTTGTAAATAAGGCTAACCAATCATGCAAAAAAATACAAATTTGAGGGAAATGGACACTTACCCTTGAAGAGCCGACCTCCAGCTGCTTTTGGACCAGGTTGGTGAGCTTTCAACCTCTGCAAATGACTTCCAAGGTGCTGGAATGGATGATGGAAGTGTGGTGCTAAGGGTTGTAGTGCCAATGGACCAAGAAAGTGTGGGTTTTGGAGCTTTGAGTAGTAACAATAGAGAAGGGAGGTTATGAGCCTTAAGCAAAAATGTCTAACCCTTGGATATGAAGAGGAGGGTCTCTCTTATAGAGAAGAGAGGCCAAATATTCTCTTGGAAGCTTCAAAGATCCTCCATACACGTGTATGGAGGCTGCACCAAATGGTCCCCAGCTGGCACAGCTGGATTACACTCAGAAAGGGCAAAAGCAATAAGCAGGCCGGCCAGTTCAAGTGGCCGGCCGGCCACTCCCCCTGGTCGGCCGACCAGGGGTCAAAAGGTTCAAGAACAATTGCTGGTCGGCCTACCCAGAAAGGTGGCCTCCCAGATGAGTAGAACACAGCCCTGTGGAGAAAAACCAGAAAAAGTGACCCAAGAGAGAGAAAAGCTAGCTTTTAAACAAGGTTCAAAAAGGTCAAGGTGAATTACTGGTCGGCCTACCCATATTGGTGGCCTCCCAGATGAGGAGATCACAGTGGTGGTATGAAAAGCCAGAAAATGTGGCTCAAAAGTGGGAAAAGCCAGCTTTCTGTCAGAAAAATCGGCTTTTGGAGAGAGAAAATGAGAAAACTGGTTTTTCAGGGGAATAGGTGGCCGGCCACCATCCTACCACCTCCCTAACAGTGAAAATAGGGTCTCTACCAAAAACAGACCAAAACGGATGCAAAACGAAGGTTCAGGGGCCAAAACGCGTGGTTCGGGGCCCCGAAAACAGGCTGTTAGGCACCGGAAGTGGCGTATGACCACGAAGGTGGTCTCCTAGGCCACAGTGTCCCTCTAAAGGGAGGAAATAAAGTATGTTCCAAAAACTGGAGCAAACAGAGGTAGTTAAGCAGTCCCGAACCGAGGCACATGGCCGACGGTTCCGAAAACCGGAAACCGGGCTCCAAATGGGAAAAATGGCCTACGACCACGAAACGTAGCCTACGGGCGCTGAGAGATGATATACGGGACCACTCCCTCCCTTCGGGAAGAGAAAACAGAGAAAACAGGACTTGGTTCGCAAACCGAGGCAAAGCACAAAAGAGCCCCGAAGTCCGGAGGCAAGGCTCGCAGCCGAGACTCTGAAACCTCAGAACGAGAACAATATGCAACATCACCGAGCGCTCAACTGGTGACGTCTGAGTCTTAAGGTCGGTCAAAAATGGGGTGTCTACAGTTGCCCCTCTTTGACAGAACTCGGAAGTCACACGTGACGGGAGTGAATGTCAAAGCCCAGAGACGACCCATTTTTGACGAGGCCAAAGACTTAGACAAACAGGCAAGATAACAAAGATGTACCCGCAGGCAGGGGCAAAATGCAACTGACAATGCAAGAAGCCGAACATAACTTATGATCATGCCAAGGATGCTATAATGAAGCAAATCATGCAACAGTTTTAAGCAAGCAAATTCAAACCAAGCTGCATTTAATGCAGAAAGGATGTAAGAAAATTATGCAATTTTCACGAACATGTGCGATAGATACACAAAAGTGAACAAAGTGTGATAGATGGACATAGTGAAGAGATCGTGATGGATACGCTTATACGAATGAAGTGTGATTGATACAGTAAAGGAAGCTAAGTGTGATAAATACACAAAGCGAAACGGGTGTGATGGATACACTAAGCAAATATGTGATAGACACACTAAGTGAACGTGTGTGATGGATACACAAAGTGAATGTGTGATAGATACATAA